TAATTATGATAAAGCTTCTAAATGCAGAGACATCCAATAATATATATTAATAAATTACAGCAAACATCAGCACTACAAATTATTTGTTTTTTAATTTAAAATTGAGTATTTCACTTCAGGCGTTGCGTCCGCCTCCCAATGAAAAACTTCTCTAGGCTTATCTCAAACTCACATTCTAGTATTACACAGTCTGAAATCACAATTCCCCTCAAAGTTTATGAAATTATTAAATTAAACTTTATTTAACATATTCATTTTCTCAATTGCTTTTATTTTCCTTCTTTGGTTGCTTCCTAAAGGTAGCAAGAGCCCTCAAATTCACCCAGCCAAAAATGGGAACTTAGAGTAACTCAAATTATTCTGTTAGGCTTTTAATGATTTGTATGTATTTAAGCATTGGCCTGTTGGTGGCAGGGTCACTGTAAGTCCTCTCATGTCAAGGGTTCGATCCCACCGTGGAGCGGAGACTCTGGAATATTAGACACGTAGCGCAAGCACCCTATCATAAGCGAGCGACTTTGCTAGGGTTTCGGCCGATGACGATTCTCTGTTTTGACACTTTCGGCTTCACTCCATCTGGCTTTCAGTTTCATCGTCTTTCCTTTTATGTTGCGGTAGTCGTGCCCGACGATGAAGGGTCTTTTCGGTTTCTTTTGTCGCAATTGCGTCCGACGACGGTTCTTTTCTATCGCAGCTTTGCCTGATGACGAAGGCCAACTTCATTTTCGTCGTCTCCTTCCCTCTCGCAGCGTGCCCGACGATGAAGGGTCTTTTCGGTTTCTTTTGGCGCAATTGCACCCGACGACGGTTCTTTTCTATCGCAACTTTGCCCGATGACGAAGGCCAACTTCATTTTTGTCGTCTCCTTCCCTCTCGCAGTTGTTCCCGACGACGAAGACCTCCTTCGTTTTCATCGTCTGAGCCCGACGACGAACCTTCTTTTTCAACGTTTCCCTTCTGTCGCACTGTTACGAGCGGGCTCTTGAATATGGTGATCACACTTTCATAAAAAAACTTGGTAAAAAAATGGGAAACCTGCTCTGATTCTCATTGAGGTTGAAACAATACTCTCGCGTGGGGAAATTCTTTTATGGTCACCAAAAACTTGAGACCATTCAGAAAGAGTTTGATGCTATGAAGCTATTGGGCAGTTAGAATTTCGGCTTATTTGACGGACGACATCCGTATTCAGTTATCTCACGATGTCGATGTCGATTACACGCATTTTTTCTCAAAAAGTTATCAAAATCGACAACCGTTTTATGAAAATTCTGAAATGGACTGTCAATTTTGATCCAAAAGTGGAGTTCCTTATCATTCCTGTTTGGATAAAGTTTCTGGGGTTAAAATTATATCTGTTCAACTTGAAAATTTTCTACTCCATAGTAACTGCTTATTGTAAGTTTTTTAAGGTTGATAGTCTTACGTTTGTTGTCACCAGACCCTCGATGGCTTGTGGGTTAGTTGAGACAGATATCACTCAACCAGTTCCAGATGAGGTTAGATTGACACCGCTCACAACGGGTATTGACAAAATGTTGAAATAGAACCACACCATCTTTATTGCTCTCATTGTAGTATGTTTGACTTCAATTATACTATTTGCTATCGCTTGCATCCTCATCTAAGGCTGAATATCGCTAAAGATCAGTCATCTACCATCTCTGTAGAGAAAGTGCAACCCAATCCTCTTGCAACACCACAATTCCTGATGAAGAACACCATACTATAAGTACAGATTCAAATGTGCTTATACCACTCACTGTTATTTAAGAAGGCTCACACCAATCTACTGATCAGGTGAGTCAATCTTCGGATGAGGAATGACAGGTCTATACCAGGAGGAAGAAGAAGAATGGAGGCCGACTCGAACTTGGGAACTTATTTGATGATACATTGGTTACTACTGACAATGACACTCAACTTACAAATTTATTAGTCGGTTCCTTCTCTAAAACTAGAGGCAGTGACAAGACAAAATTGGGTCGCTCTTTAGGTACCTAGGAAGAATGGAGGCCGACTCGAGCTCGGGAACTTATTTGATGATATATTGGTTACTACTAACAATGACACTCAACTTACAAATTTATTAGCCGGTTCCTTCTCTAGAACTAGAGGCAGTGGCAAGACAAAATTGGGTCGCTCTTTAGGTGTCTAATTCTCCGTATTTTGACACTTTTTGATGGTTATCGTATGGGCAAGGTGCCATGTTTGGACCCTCTTACACAA